CCCTTGGCAACCTCCCACCGCCCTTGTCTCCCGCCCCGCCGGGCTCGTGCTGCTGCCCCCCCTCCCCGCCCGACGCGCGCGCTTTGGAAACTTTTAATAACCTTGCCCAGCTGCACCGCCGCCCTCCCGCCGGCAGGCAAGTCCTTGGGCCACGCGCGACCGCCTGCCCCTCGCATCCCTCAGGGCCGGCTCGCCCTGCCCTGCCCCGACCCGACCCAGCAGCCTCCTGGGAAGGCAGAGCCTGGCACTGCTTGCCACTTGCTACAGGACCATTTTTTCAGGCTATTTCGGGTCCTGCAGCGCCTTGAGGTGAAAGGATTGGCTGGAGGAGAAAGGGGAAAAAAACCCAACCACAACCAGTTGCTTGGAAGCTCTGAAGGGCCCATGGGGCAAATCCACCTGGGGATTGGGGGAAAAGCTTGAGGTGTAAAAATAAATCTGTGCCTGAGAGTGTATCTGGGATGTTTTCTCAGCCTCTTGTGGGCTAACATCAAATGTGGCACTGCACTGGTCTGGTACCAGCACCTGCTGAGGTGCAGCAGCTTTAACCCCAGTATATGGAAATGGAAGACTTCTCCCTTGCTTGCTCACAGGGCCTTATGGCTAAAGGCAAGTAAAACTCGGGGGCATCTGAACCCCAAGCTTCTGGGCTTGGGTTTGCCAGTAGGACGCCTGCCAAAGGTTTTGGAGACATCTGAAGCCCCAGGTGCGGGTGGAGGATGTTTGCGGGTAGCAGGGCCACATATGGTTCTGGACTCTTGGATTTGGAATTAGTTTTGGTTAATTTGGCCTCAGATACAAATTATATTAAAGAAAACAAAACCCAAGTCAAGATGGATTTAAATGGCAGTGTGTAGTGGAGGGTGCAAAGGCTCTGCAGACCCATGTCTTGTAATTAGCTTCCCATTGGCCAGCTTCCAGTGGGAGGATCTCGGCTACACACCTGCTTAATGGAAATGGGGGACTCTTCTGTAGCTTGCTCCTGTGACCTTTGGCCGAGGGCAAGCAAGACTCGGGGGCATCCGAACTCCAAGTCTCTGGGGTTGGGATGCTTGTCGATGGATTTGGAAGTATCTGAAGCCCCAGGCTGAAAAGTCTGCGGTGGATACTTGCCATTTGGAACTGATCTGGCTAATTTGACCTGACATGACAAATTTTCATATATATATATATATATATATATATGTATATGTATATGTATATGTATCCATGACATTTTCTAAAAGTGGGATGTTGCCTGCCCCCATTCTCCTGCTTCCCTTGTGGCAGGCTGGGGTGTTAGGTCTGTGTTGTGTCCTGTTGAGAGTAGGCTGATGTAGAGTTTAGATTATGGTTGTATGGGATGGTTTGGATGGGAGGCTGGACCAGATAACCTTTCGAGGTCCCTTCCAGCCCTACTTCTCTTGATATATTAAAGCCTTAAGGGACCTACTGACAGTAGAAGCAATGCAGGGATCTGTAACTGAATAGTTCATGGCTGGATGGGAAGGAAAAGGGGCTTACATTTCCCTCAAGTGAAATGGACTACTGAGGAGTCTCAACTGGGCCCAAAGATATGTAAGTGAAAAATACCAAGGAAAATACCATCATTATTAGATCTGAATCAATGCAATATGCAGTCAATAGTAGGAACTAGTTGGTGATGCTTGCACGAATTTGGGGAGTATGTTATTCCTGGGCTTACCAGTGGTGGGTTTATATAGACCAGTGGTTTTCAACCTGTGGTCTGTGGACCTATGGGGGCTGCAGACTATGTCTAAGGGGCTCACAAAAGATGACTATGTTCAATTGAAACTATGTGAATATCCACGCTTAGAATTCAAAGGGGTTCACACCTCCATTTGAAATTTCCAAAGGGGCCTGCTCCGTTATTCAGAATTTTTAGGGATCTGCAAGTGAAAAAAGTTTGAAAACCACTGATATAGACTGTTTGGTAGAAAGGAGTATATATGGATTTTTTCTCTGGATGATTATTTTACATTTAATCTCATGTTTCCATGTAAAGCAGTATGTCAATGCACAGTTATTATAGAGAAGTAGGGCTGGAAGGGACCCCCAGAGGTTATGTAGTCCAACTCGCAGAAGGAAACTGAGTAAATATTCCTACTGAAGTCCCTGAGTCTTAGTTTCTCCTCCCTGCATGAGGGAGTGAAGGGCAACAACCTAACAACTCAGAACAAGAGATCTGGTAAGTAATAACCATCTGTTCATTTTTCTTCAATAGTAAATTCAAAATATCCCAATATTGCCATTGTTATTCGACCTACCATCCTTAGTGTTACAGATTGTTTAATGAAAGTATATAGGATAATTCTATAGATGAACTCAGCAAGCTGTGGGTATTTAGCATCTCTAAAACCAAGCCATTAGTTCTTTTTTCTTTTGCAAAGGAAGGCACAGACTTAAATTTCAAAGACATGGCTCTGTTGATGTGGTCCAGGGGATGAAATTCTATGGAGATATCACTTGTTCATGACTTTGCCTGGACAGCATGTGGAGTATGATGTGAGACTCAGGAAGCATACAAAAAGCACCAGAAGCTTTCTGTACATGAGCTGTAAGTAAGGTCATTCTGACAGCTGTTAGGGTGTCTGTTGATGAGCCACTAGCCTGCTCCAACGTTCTGTAATTACAGTGCGTCAGAGCAGATTTGATTAATCTAGTCTGCTGGACATGCTAATTACCATGCTCTGGGCAGCCTCCACATCTCGTGTATCAGTGTCCTCATGTTTCAAAATGATGGCAGGGTTGCTTTAACTAGAGCTCATTCAACAAACTTTTGTTAAAGCGCCTCCACTGCTGTTTTGAAGCTCAGGGATGCTGATACATGAGACTCTGTGGGTGCTTTAATTGGAGTGCTCTCAAAGCCACTCTAATTAAAGCGCCCCCCCCCCAATACCCGGAGCATGTGTGAAAACACCCTTAGGCTACGTCCAGACCAGCACAGTACGTGGCACCACAAAGATGTCTGTGGCACCACATACCGCACATTTATATGTTCTCTGCGCTACAAGGGAGTGCTGTTCATGTGTGCATTGCTTTGCTTTTTTTTTTCCTGTGGGTTGTTTTGACCCCTGTGGGGAAAAAAAAGCAGAGCAGCTTATGTAGAGGTAGCGCACACTGCTCAAAAGCAGAGCCGAGCCACCCAGAGCCATGCTGCGGCTGCTGGCCAGGCTTCGTGTGGCACAATCGCCATGGTTGTAGCCCAGAACTCGAGGTAAGGCTGCTGGGGCCAGCACAGTGCTGGCCCCAGCCTCTCCTACCCCACCCAGGGTAACTTGCTACGTGCCAAAGCGCACATGGCATGGGAGTTCACTGGAGACAAGTAGTGGCGGTACAAGGTGTGCTGCCTCTGCTTGTCTCCAGACCAGATGCCCACACTTGTGTGGATGCGGCCTTAAAGTCCAAAAGTTGGTTGTGTGAAAGACAATACTCAGGGAATGCATGTTTCTTTATTATAGATTTCAGGGTCGTATATTTATATTTATGTCAGTTATGGATACACTTTGTAGAAAATCTTTTTAGCTGATGAATTTGTATCCACTCAAGACGAGTCTTAATTTTAGGAAGACCAACTTAGTGTGCTGATAGTCCTGATAGCTTTCATGCTGAGGTATTTCAAATATACTTATGTCATTTTACTTATCGAGGGAGATAGATATAAAATTGAGGCAACTATTTGCATGCATAATTTAGCTATGCATCTCAATATTGCCTGTGCCAAAGACGCATTCAGAGGACTGTTAAATGTTCTCAGACTATATATATCCATTTAAGTCAAATTGCACTTGTGGGAAAAAAGATATGCAAACTGGTTTTCATAGTTCTCTCATCAATTCTAAATTAGACTGAACACAATCCTACCGCCAGACATAAAACAAATCCAAATTTTGAAATTATTCATGCATTAGAGGAACAGATAAAGAGTGCCTGGAGGGGAGGTGCCATACTATCACTAATAGCACCTTTAACTTACAAATGGTTCGCTTTCTGGATCACTTTCTGAGACTTGTACACCTAGATTTCATTTAAATTCCATTTAGGGCCCTACAAAAATTATTTTGATCTGGCCCCAAACTGATTCTTTTCCATGATTGCACTTCTTGTGGAACTGTACATTGGCTTTATTGACTGCAAGTGATGAACATGTTGAGAGAAAAACATATTTTAAAAAATAATAGACAAGATAAATGTACTAGGGAAAAATATATAGTAGGCATTTATTCTATGTTACTTTGAAGATTCTAAAGGAAAAACCAAAATATTTAAAAATGTTTTTGGTTTAGGAAATGTTTTTATTAGTATGAGAAATATGTAAAACATGATTTAGAACAGTGTTAACTGTATTTGGTACTAATAATCTTTAATTATGAACATCTTGGGGAAGAACCAAGGTTTTGTGTGATTTGATGCTTAAACAATAATGAATCTCTCTGAAGTGGATAGAATCAAGAGATATAGGGTAGCCCTCCTCTTGAAGCTGGCTTCTAGTACAGCCAGGGGAGGAAGATATGTGGGGTTAGGAGGAAGACGGTATGCTAGGGGGATTGTGGTTTACTGAGATGGCTGCTGCCCTGGATTTGAGGGGCCCTGGCTTCTAACTTGGATTCTTATTCTTCATGGGGTAGAAACTTCCCCAGTGCTCTTTATCCACTAAATACAAGGTGCAGTGGCTCACCTTCAAGAGGAGGGCTGGAGAGGGGAGCTAGATGATGTCTAACCCAGTGATTCTCAACCAGGGTGCTATGACATCCTGTGGTGTCTTTAGTTCTTTTTAGGGGTGCCCCAGGGCACCAGGAAGTGTTAGTATTATTAGTTGTGGAAACTTAATTGACAAGATAAACCCAGAGATTTCAACTAGGAATCTATAGGGTTAAAAGCATTCTGGGCTGTTGTGGTCTTTCTGAGTCATTTGCAACAGAAAATTTGTATTTTTCAGCAGTAAAAAAATCGAGTGAAAACTAAGAGTTGACATTTTCTGAAGGATGCCTTGGGTTGAGAACTACTGGCCTAATCTCTGACCTCAGGGTTATATCACTGTGCTGGGATGTTGGAACAAGTTTCCAAAGACAGATTCTTTCATCTTGAGGAAATATAATTTACAAGCTGCTTTGAGAGCTCAATCTGTGCTTAGACTCCTAATCAAGCCTTCTGTGCTATGCTTGGTTTATGGTTTTCTGGGTTAATGAATTATGACAGGCTAACCTATCTCATGGAATCTATATAACCATCATATATAACAACATCTAAACAGACACTGCAGACATACTTAAGACAGGGAAAAACCAACTCTCCATTTCTGAAATGGTCTGTAAACTAACAGACAGAATATTTTGATCATCCCTCTTCTTGAACGTTTTAGTATTATTAGTGGATATTCACAGAAGAATTAAACAATTTACTTTTTGTTAGCAAATGCAGTAATGATAATGTCATTCCTCTTTGTAAGGACAGTAGGACAATGGAACAAGCTGCTTGGGGAGGTTTTGGTATCTCCTTTTTGTGGTATCTTCTTTATTGGAAGTTTTTAAGAAAAGGCTGAATTAGATCTAGCTATCTGTGCATGCAGTTGCACTAGATGACTTTAGGTGGCCCTTCTGGTACTATGATTCTATAACTTGAAAGACAATAATATCAGTTGCTGGGAACTTAATAGTGTGACGGGTTTAGCTAACTGATCAATCAAGTAATTAATAGCCAGATGTTCATCAGTATACCATGTCACTTAGACTTATACGACTTAAGAATCACCTTTGACATCCCCATTGATATATCCAGACTATGAATAAATCTTTTATCCTTTTTTCCTCCACACAGTTTACTAAATCTAATCCTTGTAGTTTATCCAAAAGTCATATCAAGGCCACTCTTACCACACCGTTGTCTACGACTGTTGCTGTAACTATGGCGTGTGTCTCTTTGGGTTCCTCCAAAGGTTCCCTTTCTCCCTGTGACAGTCCAGATTCTTCACTTTTCTTTTAAAACCCGGCACTAAAACTCAACACTCTTTCCTTATCTTTTATATCCAAGTCAGCAACCTTTTAGAGTGGTGTGGTGCCACTTGTGATCTGGCCATTGCTGTGGGCTGTCAGTGCCCCTGCTACTGGAAGTTGCCACTCCCCTCTACAGAGCCCAGGCTGCCTGCTGCCACCTTCAGCATGCGTGCCATGCACTGCTGATTCCCACCCCTAGCAGCAGTAGGGAGAAGTGAATTTGGCAGCGGCTGAGAGTAGCACCCGCTATATGGGGTGAGAGAGAAGTGGCGGTAGAGATGCTTCAGGTGGAAGTTGTTGGCATGTGTGGGGGAGTTAGGGAGGACATACTAGGTGTAACTGTGTGCCGCCAATCCCTCATGTCACTCTGGGCCAATTCCAATCACTTCCTGAGCCACATCTGGTCTGCAGGCCTTGCCACTCCCTGTTTTATATCACAGCACTCCCTGCTCTCAGCAACGGCACCAGCATTTATCTATCATTTATCTGTTTGTCATGCATTGTTTGTCTTTGTGTTTTTTTCCCAGCCATCTTTTACAACCAGAGTGATCTCTCTGGTTTTAGGTCAATGGGTTATACCCTCTCTTCCTACAATAATTCCTTAAAACTAGCATATGTCATAAAGCTAACAAGAAATTGCCAATATAATACTTAAGGAATGGTCAGTTGCAAATTAGCTACATACCTCATTAAACAGACACAACATAAAAATACTGCTAGTCTTTCCCCAACTATTTGTGTGCTTCTTCAGTGTCTTTGGAATAGAACCAATTTGGATCAGGGCTGTGTACAAAAGTAACTTAGTACAGTAACTACTTCCTGTACTCTTGATATAAGATAAATTTTGGAAACCAAATATTTATTCTAAAAATGGCCTTCATCTTCAATTCAGGTAAAAAAATTAAAAAGTTCTATATGCTCCATAGCTGTATCTTTGTAAATGTGTCTTTATTTGATGTTTTCTTTTTTTCCTTAAATTTAGTGTCAGAAAATTTGGGTGCAAATTGAATTCAAGGGCATCTTTCATTCAAAGGAATACAGTAATTGTTGGCACTTCCACATACATAACAACAGTGAAGGCTTCTGCAGGCTTTAATAAAAGTATAAATGAAGCAAAATTACAAGACAATTTATACTTGTTTTCAGAGTAAAAAAACAATATATGCCTCACATCCTTCTCAGAAACCATGTAGCT